ATTGGAAAAGACACTGAATTTGTTAAGAGGAGAATTCGAGAAGAACAGGGATTTGGGGTTCAGTTGGGGTTCAAAATATATTTTTACCCAGACTGATCACAAAATACTTACGTACTAGCCTCCCGCCGGCGGCAGCTATCAAGTCTTATTTTTAGGTCAGTACATTCACCAAAGAATTTTGCCACAGGATGATCTAAATGACACTTCCACAACTCCACAATGATCTGCAACAAAGATTCAGCACTTGAATTAGTAACTAGAATTCTTTTAAGAGCAAAAGTTTAACATCAGAATCACATGATTAACAATGATTTCCACAAATTTAATGTCAGCTTGACAGACAGTCCTTTAAAATTTCACTGGATGCAGGAAAAGTAACATCTTGTTATATCAATCCAACAATATTTCTTGTCAAATCTTATTTGGAAAAAAATGTAAAGACTTTCAACTTTTATTTCCAACTAGATGATGAACCAATAAAGATTACAACTTTCACAAGGATATGTATCTTAAATGAACTCTACACAAGATTGTGTCCAAAGACTCCAAACAACTGCTAACCTATAGCCCAAATAAGAGAACGTAACTTTGTACTATTGGAAGCAACAACTAATGATAAGCATTTTATCGAAACCAAGCAATAAGAAAACAAGATAAGCTCACTTCAGCACACATTGGGTGCCTATCTAGTGTTAAAGGAGGATGCATCTTCCAGAAGAAAATAAAGATCCACTATTCTGCAATGAACAGAGTTGGATACTTTAAAAATAGCAGAAAAAATCTCAAACAATATGTAATAGAGAAGTAAAGTAACTAAATTTATGAATTGGCTGAGAGATACTTTCCCAAGCTTCCAAAACTTTGCCACAGAAATCGGTACAATGAGACCATGATCCCACAAAATTGGGACAAATACAAATAGAATTGAAAATATAAGAATTCTTAGGTCAAGAACCAATTAGAGGAAACAAGTACGCCCACGAAAAAATTATATAATCAAAGAACTCCAAGCCACTCTCCTACAAAACAAAAATGAAAATTGGAAATGAAAGACTCCATTTTCATGAACCATCATGAAAATTTTGGTTTATACCAAAACCCCAATATTAAGTTGGAATGCATTAACACCAGAAGATTTTACTAAACTTGATGGCAGGACAATTGGGAGGTTTTTGGGCAAATTCATAAAGGATGAAGCTCCATCAACGCCATCACTAACTAACAGCCAATAGAAAAATTACAAATAATATGTAGAAATCTGAATTCATACACAAAACATATGTATTCATAGAAAGAAAGTGAAAAAATTTACAGAAACCCCACATCCAAAGAAGCTAACTTCGAGAAACATATTAGAAGTTGAACAGGGGCCACTAACCACGGGTTTAAGAAGATAGTCACCACCGTCCTCATTCCGCCGCAAGTAAGGTCGTTAACCCCCTCCTATCCCTCGTCGGAGCCACAAAGTCTGAAAACCGTGACCGAAGACGGAAAGTAGCTGCCTTCCTTTAAATTTGAGCTTGGTCGGACCATCTTTTGGGTAATTTTAAAATAATATTCATTAAAAACAAAATAGAGAACTGTTTCAGAGATTTGAAAATTAGATCTTATTATTTAGCCATTATCTCTATATTTTAGGAAGTTTAAGTTATTTATTTTAGGTTGTTATCATTTAAATTAGATTAGATAAGATTGGTTAATTATCTTTTTAGATAATATTATCTTGCAAAACCTATTTAAAGGCTGGATTATTTTCAGTTTAATGTGAGATTCAATTTTTCATTCCATCTTCTTCTTCTTGGGAATCCTTGATTTTTAACATTTGGTATCATAGCCTATTCCCAACAAAAAAAATTTCCATGGCTTATGAAAATTATGTCCAGCCTTCAATCCCTTAATTTGATGATCAGCACTATGACCATTGGAGTATGTTGATGGAGAATTTTCTCCGATCCAAAGAGTATTGGACTATTGTTGAAGCTGGAGTTCCAAAACCAACAGCAGGTGCAAATGATGCACAGAGGGCAGAAATTGAGAAGGAAAAATTGAAGGATCTCAAGGCTAAGGACTATTTGTTCCAAGCCATAGATCGGGCTATCTTGGAAACAATTCTTAACAAGTCTACTTCCAAGAATATTTGGGATTCCATGAAGAAGAAGTACCAGGGGAATGAAAGAGCAAAGCGGCAACAATGCCAGGCTTTGCGGGCAGAATTCGAAGTTCTGCAGATGCAGATTGGTGAATCTGTAGATGATTATTTTGCAAGGACGATGGCTATTGCAAACAAGATGAGGATCCATGGTGAAAATCTGGAGGATGTTGCTATAGTTGAGAAAATCCTTCGGTCTATGACAACAAAATTCAATTATGTTGTTTGTTCAATTGAGGAGTCAAATGATATTGAGACACTTTCTCTTGATGAGTTGCAGAACTCATTGTTAATTCATGAGCGGAAGATAAATCACCAAGACAAGCAAGAGCAAGCAGTGCAGATTTTGCAGACACAAGCCTTGCAGACAACAATTAATTCAAGGGCTGATGGTCGAGGAAAAGAAAACTGGAAAGGCAGACCAAGATCTAGCAAACCGAGATCTGACAAATTGGAGGAAAGTTCAGCCACTGGAATTCAGAAGAGGTGGCAGAACAGAAATTATCAAGCTGCAGATAACAGATCCAAATCTGTAGGAAAGGCAAATATTGAATGCTTCAGATATCATAGGTATAGCCATTATTGTTCTGAGTGCCGTGCTAATCTGAATAGAGGAGAAAGCTCTAATTTTGTAGAACACAATGAGAAAAATGACGATTCCTCTCTATTCATGGTCTGTCATCCTAAAGAAGTCAGCAAGAAGAATGTGTGGTATCTGGATACTGGTAGTAGCAATCACATGTGTGGAGACAAATCTGCGTTTTCAAATTTGGATGAGTCTTGTTAGGACAAGGTGAAATTTGGTGATAATTCTACTATTGCAGTCAAGGGAAAGGGAAAGGTAACCATTCGTTCCAAAGACAATTCAATTCAGACTATTTTTAATGTTCTGTATGTACCAGATTTGAAGTCGAATCTGCTTAGTCTAGGACAGCTTCAGGAAAAAGGATATGAAATCCTTATTAAAGATGGAGTTTGCCAAATTCGTGATTCAAAACTTGGTCTGATTGCAAAGGTCAAGATGATGGGAAATAGGTTGTTTCCATTATACTTGCAGACCACAAATCTGTCATGTGTATCTGCCATATTAAAGGACATAGCTTGGTTATGGCATTGCCGATTTGGACATCTTTATTTTGGTGGGTTGAAAGCTTTGCAGCAAAAGAAAATGGTAAATGATCTTCCACATTTTGATTCTCCTTCAGAAATTTGTGAAATCTGCATGGTCAGTAAACAGCACCGTGACAGCTTTCTTAAAGACAAATCTTGGAGAGCAAAGCAGGTGCTAGATCTGGTTCATTCTGATCTGTGTGGACTCATAAATCCAACATCCAATGGAGGTAAACAATACTTTATTACCTTTGTTGATGATTATAGTCGCAAGACATGGGTGTATTTTTTGCAGACCAAGTCAGAAGCCTTAGCAGCCTTTAAAAATTTCAAAGTCTTGGCTGAGAATGAGGTTGGTAGATCTGTAAAGGTTCTACGTACAGATCATGGTGGTGAGTTTAATTCAAAGGAATTTGTAGATTTTTGTGAGTCCAATGGCATTAAAAGGCAACTCACAGCAGCCCTTACACCTCAACAGAATGGTGTATGTGAGAGGAGGAATTGCACAAACATGAATATGGTGCGAAGTCTGATGTCAAAGAGCAGCTTGCCTAAGGAGTTCTGGCCAGAAGCTGTTAATTGGAGTGTTCATATCTTGAACAGAAGTCCCACATCTCCACTTCCAGATTTGACACCAGAAGAGGCTTGGAGTGGACGTAGACCTGCTATTGATTACTTAAGAATTTTTGGGTGCATGGCATATGCACATGTGCCAGATCAGAAAAGGAGTAAGATGACAAAGGGGAAAAGTGTATTTTCCTTAGTGTTAGTGATCAATTCAAAGCTTACAGATTATAAAATCCTTTAACCAAGAAGGTCATCATTAGCCGCGATGTAGTGTTTGATAAAACAAGCACTTGGTCTTGGACAGAAAAATCTAGGCAACAGATTCCTACAAATTTCGAAAATGAAGAAGATCTGACTGTGCAGAACTCAGAAGGTCTAACACAGCAGACTGGAGGTTTAACTTCAGCAAATCTCGAGGTTTCAAGACAGAAAGCTGAAGAAAGTCTACCTATAGAAGTAGAGCTCAATATTGGAGGAAGTGATCTACCTCAAGATGATGTTCCAGTTAATCATTTTGCTCTATTTGTACATTGTGATCCATTGACATATGAAGAAGCTGTTAAAGAAAAAAAGTGGCAAAAAGCCATGGCAGAAGAAATTGGTTCTATTGAAAGGAACCAGACTTGGGAGTTGACAGATCTTCCAAAAGGGCACAAAACAATTGGTGTTAAGTGGATCTACAAGACAAAGCTCAAAGAGAATGGGGCGGTTGACAAATACAAAGCTCACTTGGTGGCAAAAGGTTACAAGCAATAGTTTGGCATTGATTATCAAGAAGTTTTTGCTCCAGTTGCAAGGATGGATACCATTAGATTGGTGATTGCATTAACAGCACAAAACTCATGGCCGATCTACCAGCTTGATGTGAAATCTGCCTTCTTGCATGGAAATCTGCAAGAACAGGTATTTATTGATCAACCTCCTAGTTATGTGAAATCTGGTTCTGAGCATAAGGTTTACAGATTGAAGAAAGCATTATATGGACTAAAACAAGCACCTAGAGCTTGGTATAGTCGAATAGATGCTTATTTTTTGAAGGAAGGTTTTCAAAAGTGCCCTTATGAGCATACACTTTACACCAAATTTGGAGATGGAGGTAAATTGATTATAGTATGCTTATATGTTGATGATTTAATTTATACTGGGAATGATTTTGGCATGTTGGAAAAGTTCAAGCAGTCCATGAAGCTTGAATTTGATATGACAAATCTGGGTTTGTTGCATTATTTTCTTGGTCTGGAAGTAGTACAGTCAAATTCTGGAATTTTTGTTTGTCAGAAAAAATATGTGCAGGAAGTTATGGATAGATTTCAAATGAAGAACTGCAATTCTGTCACTACACCAGTTGATAAATGTGTAAAACTCGTGAAAAATCCATGAGGCAAATCTGTGGACAGCAAACTATACAAGCAGATTGTTGGAACTCTGATGTATCTGACAGCAACAAGACCAGATATAATGCATGGTGTAAGTCTGATTAGTAGATATATGAAGCATCCAAAGGAGTTGCACTTACAGACTGCTAAAAGAATTCTCAAGTATTTATGTGGAATTGTAGATTTTGGACTATTCTACAATAAGGGTGACCAGACAGATCTCGCAGGCTTTACAAACAGTGATTATGCAAGGGATTTGGATGACAGAAAAAGCACTTATGGGTTTGTTTTTATGTTGGGATTTGGTGCAATTTCATGGTCTTCAAAGAAGCAGCCCATTGTAACTTTGTCCATAACAAAAGCAGAGTATGTGGCAGCAACTTCTTGTGATTGTCAAGCTATTTGGTTGAGAAGAATTATGGAAGAACTTGAGCTGAATCAACATGAGGCCACTTCAATTTATTGTGGTAACAGTTTAGCCATCAAGCTTTCTAGAAATCCAATTTTGTATGGGAGAAGCAAGCAAATACATGTGAGATATCATTTCTTGCGCAACTTGGTAGAAGATGGAACAATTAAGTTGATTTATTGTAGAATAGAAGATCAAGTAGCTGATATATTCATAAAACCCCTCAAAGTAACAGCCTTTTCAAAACTGAGAGAGTTACTTGGTGTTTACAGCATGTAGAATTTAGTTTGAGGGAGGGTCTGCAGGTTCCAGATTATAGATCTGCAGATATTGTGTTATCCAGATTTCTTTATAAACTAAAGTCTGAAAACTTTCAGTTTAAGGGAGGGATTTGGAAATTAGATCCTATTATTTAGCCATTATCTCTATATTTTATGAAGTTTAAGTTATTTATTTTAGGTTGTTATCATTTAAATTAGATTAGATAAAATTGATTAGTTATCTTTTTAGATAATATTATCTTGTAAAACCTATTTAAAGGCTGAATTATTTTCAGTTTAATGTGAGATTCAGTTTTTCATTCCATATTCTTCTTATCGAGAATCCTTGATTTTTAACAAGAGTGTAGATTATATCGTTATATATGTATATAGTTTGTTTTATAAATTTATTTAAATGTTTTTAAAAATAAAATAAAATT